ACTCCACTTTTAGTGTCACTTATCATGTATGTATTTATGTGTATCTACTTATCTATCATAATATTCTGGCAATCAAAAGAAAAGTACCACTTTTTACACCATAGTGGCGTCGGTGGCCTAGTGGTTAGGCTCTCGGACTCGCAACCGTAAGGTGGAGGGTTTGAACCCTGTCATGGACCCGACGTTGTGTCCTTGGGAAAGGCTCTTTACACGAGTTTTCCTCACTTCACCCAGGTGGGAATGGGTACCCAACTATAGACAGCGAAAGATCTTGCCAGTTTGATAGTGTTTGAGCGCTTAATCAGCTGCTTGCACTGTATGCTTCCTAGGAAGCTGAGAATGTTTCTGGGTGTTCTATGGTCTGCTGGGGTAATAATATAGTGTAAAGCGCATAGAGCTTGCTGTCGAGCGGGGTTATGCGCTATACAAATGCTATTATTTGATTGTGAATAATATCTTGTCCTTTAATTCACCTTGATTTATCTGTGAAATACTTCATACTTCAATTTCGTGGTTGAAAGAATTATTACTTTAATAAAGGAAAAACAAAAAACCGATCGAACATATAGAGCGGACCCTTTTTTCTCCTGTTTTTATTATTATTTTTTTTTATTTTTTTTTTACTCGCAAGTATATATTCTTTAATGCCTGTCGTTTCTACACTTCCATCAACACAATTTATATAGGAGCTGGGTTTCGACATTTCCTGTCAGGGCCAACCCGTGCTGAGAGAGATACACAACATCTTAGCAGAAAGACTGAGATACTAGATATAAATCTGATGTCCGAGATATTTTGGTTTGTAAAATAGTGTTGCGTGAGTACTAATTCATTCCTTGATATCTATTTCTTTCGTTTTTAGATTTATAATTTTGGAATAAATCGAGCTTTATTCGACCTTACTCACACGTTTAAGTCTATACTTTCCCCCCTCAGATATATGTGTAGAGTAAGGATCCTCTATCTTAATTTTCTTCTATTTTTTGTAGGTAGCACAATGCTGGATAAACTAACAAAACAGGGGCTTTCTGTCTGATGTGGACTGATAGGTAAACGGAACTGATAAGGAATGAAGTGTCTAGAAAAGAACACAGAGTTTGACCTGTAGATCTACAACATATTATAATATCCTGTTTTGACATTGACCGTGAGGCCCAGTTATAGTATCAGGACTGAAAGTAGACCCAGATGGGACCCACAGAATGAACAACAGGATAGACAACACAGACGAGCTAGTCACAGGGGTTTTATTAGTGGTTTTCGTCACAAACTGTTGAACTCTGTTGTTATGTTGTTGTCGTCTTCTTCTTCTTCTTCTTCTTCTTCTTCTTCTTCTTCTTCTTCTTCTTCTTC